TCTGTATCTGCCAATTCCTTTCTATACAATGACTCAGTATATTCCTTCCATCTTCTTTTAATACTTCCTGGATCATTTAATATTCTGACCAAAGCATCCTTGATTACAGCAACTCTATAGTGTATGATAATTCCAGACTCTCCATATGCCCTCCAACATACGACCATTATTGTAAAAACAGAAGGATTACTAATAGTAAATGTGCACAAAGGGGTAATAGGTGAAAGCAGGCAGGTGAGGATGGGTAAGGGGGGAAATCACAGAGCTATGCAATTAGGTGTGTGCAAGGATGGGGTAAAGGTAATAGGAAAGATCCATTGGGGACCTGAAAAGATGGGGTAATGGTGGGCATAGTTCCAATGGTGATTAATTTTGTAAAACGCAATGCATAAGAATAATTCTATGGAAAAATAATGTCGATGTTAAAGGCATTGCCTTTAAGAACAGGAAACAGGCAAGGATGCCCACTATCACTTCTCTTATTCAATACTGTTTTGGAAGTCTTAGCGGTAACAATAAGAAAAGGAAATAAAAGGTATCCAAATTGTCAACGAGGAGGTAAAATTATCCCTCTATGCAGATGACAAGTTCAGCAAGAAAACTATTGGACATAGTAGACCAATTCAGCAAAGTGGCAGGATACAAGATCAACATGCAAAAATCAGTTGGATTTTTCTACAGTGACAAAGAGAATACAAGCCAGAACTAAGAAAAACAATACCTTTCACAATAGCTGATGACAAGATTAAATACATGGGAATAAATTCAACCAGAAGCACAAAGGACCTTTTCAACGAAAACAACAAAACATTACTACAAGAAACAAAAAGAGATCTTGAGAAGTGGAAGAATATCCCTTACTCATGGATAGGAAGACTCAATGTTGTGAAAATGGCAATACTACCAAAAGCAATTTACACATTTAATGCAATCCCAATACAAATACCAATCCCATCTTCAACGAGATGGAAAAGGCAATATCCAGTTTCATTTGGAATGGAAAGAAGCCCCGAATAAGCAAAACACTCCTTAAGAACAGAAGAATGGTAGAAGGTATCTCACTCCTTGATTTCAAACCCTAGTACACTGCTGTAGTGGTATAGACAGCATGGTACTGGTACAATGACAGACACATAGATCAATGGAATAGAACTGAGAATCCGTGGGCACAGGATATGACCAGGCACTTCACCGAAGACAACATTCAGATGGCTAACAAGCACATGAAGAAATGCTCAAAATCCCTAGCCCTAAGAGAGATGCAAATTAAAACAACTATGA